CAATGCTTTTCCTTTCCACCCATATCCTCGACACAGAGCCCGAAAGGATGAAAGCCCAGCCTCCACCTGGGTCGCAAGAACGAATTAGACAGCGATTGGGGCCTGGGTTTGTGCTGTGGGTGGGATAGGTCTAGTAACCAATGCAAGAGTTGGGAGCGGTCTGTTGGTGTCTAGCTGATAAGGTTAGTGACTGACTGTGTTTGGGTTCAGTGTTCTAGTGTACATACTGTGCACTGTTTGTTCTGTTTAGGAAACAGTTTCTTTTTATTTGGCCAAGCATTCTTTCCTAGCATCAGAAGAACTGACACATCTTCTGGTATTTTGTTTAAACGTGGGATTTTATGAACTGTTTCTTTCTTGCTAGGTCCTCAGTAATCCAACAAAGAGTCCTGCTACACAAGATATGGCTGAACTAAATGACAAGACAATTGGATATGAGCAAATCAATACCCCTAATTTGCTTCCATCTGTTAGAGAAGAAAACAAATCACCTCTTCAACTTAAGTCTCTGGATTCCAGTGTTTTTCAGTTTTCCAGGTGACTAAAACCTTCATTTATTTTCAACAATAAGCCTCAGAATCTATTTTCCTGTAGAGTAATTTGATGTGTCATATATAATATCTCTTATATATAGTATGTATGTAATATAAGTGTACCACCATGTCAGGTAAGTTGCTTTTCTTAACACATGAAGTGCACTCATGGAAATATGGTTTGGAATTGATAGAATTGTGTCTTGTATTCAGCCCTAGTTTTTCCTTCTTAGAAGTGCTATGTCGAGCCTATAGACTTTTGAAGTGATCACTGTCTTGTGTTACCTACTGAAGTCTTCATATTCACTCTTTGGAAAGTATAAAGTGCTATTTTTTTGTTTTTGTTTTTCGAGACAGGGTTTCTCTGTGTAGCTTTGGAGCCTATCCTGGCACTCGCTTTGGAGACCAGTCTGGCCTGGAACTCACAGAGATTCGCCTACCTCTGCCTCCCGAGTGCTGGGATTAAAGGCGTGCGCCACCAACGCCCGGTTTAAAGTGCTATTTAAATAAGGTAGTGCTATATAGAAAATCATTGACCCTATACTTAAATTTATGAATATTAATGTCTACAGAGGATTCATAGGCCTAGGATATGTTGGCCCTGTATAAAATTAACTAATAGAAAAATGTTTTCTAGAAAAAAGTCATCACTGAAAGTTTGTTCTTGCATAACAGGGTGGTACACATCTTTAATCCCAGCTCCCAGGAAGCAGAGGCTCCCATGGGTCACAGACCATAGTGAATTCCAGGCCAGCCAGGTTTACACAGTGAGATCCTGTCCAGGGAAAAAAAGTTTCTTCTTGGGCTTCACTCACTTCATTTTCTATGGTCTCATCAATGTTGTTAGTCCATATAATAGGAAGGAGGATAGCAACGTATTTTCTTAGGTGTTAGGCATCTCTGAGGTACTAAAAGATACAACAGCCCCCATAGTGTCACTAGAAATGAACACAGCACTCCTTATTCGCATACCTTGCATTTATCTCTGCTGTTTTCATTCTTGTAGGGCAGGCAGAGAATTGCTCTCAAATAGTAGAAATGTCTACAGCCTTCATTAATGTGATATTACATAATAGCTCTGGATTTCTCAGTGTTCTTCTTAATATACCATAGGATAGAGGCCATTGAATATTTCCTAGGTCACCTAACCTTTCCCCTAGTGATACACACTCTTTACCTGTTTGTTTCTTCTGAGACAAGTCTTTCATTCTTATAAACACAGACTTGTACAAGTTTTCCGGTCCCCTATACTGTGATTCTTCCATAATTAAACTGTAGGCAATACAGGAATCTTTAGATGCCTTGAATATGAGCGGATGGCCTCAAGAGAAAGTAAACTTTACACGTAAGACTATTAAAAGAGTAAATGACAGTCTATATGATAGCATTGGAACACTGCCTTGCTTGGAATATGATCATTACTCGGTAAGCAACGATTAAATTCAGGTCAGGTTGAAAGAGCAGTTTAGAAAACTGAATTTTGAGGCAAAGGGGTAAAACATGACAGTTTGCCCTGTCCTCTGTAATTGGACCCAAACTCTACCCTAGTGCTATCAATAGTTTTTCATCATACATTGCAGGTTTGAATTTTTCATTTAAAAAATTATTTTTCATTTTACATACCAACCCCAGTTCCCCCTCCCTCCCCTTCTTCCACCCCCACTTCCCCCTTCCCACCCCCATCAACTCCTCATAGGAGGCAAGGCCTCCCTTGGGGAGTCAACAAAGTCTGGCATACCAAGTTGAGGCAGGACCCAGCCCCTCCCCCCTGCGTCTAGGCTGAGCAAGGTATCCTACCATAGGGAATGGGCTCCAAAGAGCCAGTTTATGCACCTGGGATAGGTCCTGGTGCCACACGGACTATGGACTGACAGCTGGGGAACCTGCATAATTTTGTTTTTTAAGGACATTATGACTTCTTTCTTGGTCATCTGGCTATTTTCATGCCATTGTTTTCAAATCCTTACACTTTGGTGACCACTTTTCTTTTTCTGCCTACATTTGTTTGGTCACTCTGTCATTGTTTATGGCTACCCATTGGGATTACAAATGTTCTTTGGGATATTATAATAAATATTTTGTGAGTGCAATACTATGCTACATCCATTGGGTGGCATACCTCATCAGCTTTTATTGGAGACTTTGCATGGGTCTTTGTGGAATATAATAAGGTTTAGGCTGTAGAGGGCAAGTAACGTGCTTTGAAATTTTATGTGCAATTCTAATGTGTTGAGAGTAAAATTCTTTCAAGAGCTAAATGATACCCGTTGCTGCTAATAATATATCTTATGTGAGATTAGCAAATGATAATAATTACATTATTTAAGGCTGCACATATAGCACCATTTAAGTTGGTTGAGGCACAGTAGCATTTCTGGCTACATAGGAGACTAAGGTCAGAAGGTCAGCTGGGTCCAGGGGGCTGGAGACAAGCCTGGGAAACATACCAAAATACTGCTTCAATTTTGTTATTAGCAGGTTTTTCATTTGGAAGTGGGAAATGGGGATACTCCCATGTTTAATAAAATATAGTTTCTGATAAGAGTACTAATGAATAGGTTTAACCAAGAGGTGCAAAGCTTTCCTTTATTATCAAAAACCTAAAATATAATAAGAGTCTTTGAGCTTTTTAGTCCTGCTTATAAACTATATAAAATAAAGCCTAGTCTGTCCAGCAGACCTTTAAGAAGTCATACTGGGGTAGGTTAGAAGAGTCCCCCACAAAGGTCATTGGAAATGGCTTTATGAGTCTTACACATCTAACAAGGGGAGATTGGAATTACAATACAATGAAGAAAACATTCAGCTAAGATGTAAGCTACCAGTCATAACCTTTTATGGGAAGACAGCTTTTTTTCTGTTAAAGAAAGTAATTTACTTCTGTTAATTCATTCTACATAAATTTGAGTGATCTATGAAAGGTGTTCTTTTAGGATAATAAGGTATCCAAGATGATGGAATAATCAGTGTTGTGTGTAAATATCTCCAGTACATGCAGGTTTCCTTAAAAATGGTACCAACTAAGATCTAAAATAGCCATAAGTGTATCAGCAAAGGAAAGAATTTGTTATTATAGTTTATTTATATACTTTGAATAAAGTATGCCAAAAGCTAATGAGTTTTTATTTTAAAATAATACTTAAAAGATGCCTTTGTTGCCTAGGAAAACTGATTTCAACCAGAGGAACAAGCCTCTGACTGCTTCCATTTTCCCCAGTTTTATATTGTGGGAGGTATATTATAGATAGACCCCAAGGACTGGGTCTCTCTTCTCCCATCCAGCTTTTGCTTCCCCAACTTGCAGGGTGGAGACACTCACCCGGACATAGCAAGCTGACAATGCTAGGCCTCCATTGCCCCAGCTCAAGATTGCTCATAGATCAAAGGTTCATTCTGGATGGAGCAAGTTCAAAACCACTCCAGTCCTCATCCATAATGAAGGGATTTCTCTCTGGAAGAAATAGGCATTGTCTCTACTTCCAATTTTGCATAAGTTGTTCAACTTTGAGAAAGAGGCAAGTGTTAAGGTTGAACTGCATGCCTTACCTAAAAGAACTGACTTTACCTAGAATGAATTATCAAGAGTTTCATGCCTAAGGACATTGTCAGGAGTAAAATAGGTCATAGAGGGTACTTATAACTCCATATGATACAACTTGCAAAAAATAGCCAGATAGGCAGAAGTTTGGAAATAGAAAGACCATCAAGGAAAGTTTCTTGAGATGGCAGTTAATTCCAGTTGTCAGCAAGGGTGTCACCCATTAAAAAACAAACAGAATAGGACAGAAAGTGAACTTGAAACCAGTACCCAAGCTACATTCAGATCAAACGGCAAACAGGCAGCAAACCCATTGGCATGGATTTCAATACTGTGACCACCAACAACTGGCCAAATAATGCTCTGATCCAGTGACAATTCCCAAGAAGCCAGGTTTAAAGATAAAATCACCTCCCTGAAAATCCTGTGCTCTCTTGGAGGTGACTAAAGAGGGAAGATCCAAGCTATTGCTAAATGAATGTATTGCAAAAACAAACTCCTTACATCTTAGTGGCAGCAATCTACAGTGTCATCCTAAAATTCACATGGAAATCAGTCCAACAATCTTGAAAGAGAACAAAGTGAGTCTCACTCACCTTTAATAATCCACAGTAGTCAAGACAGTGTGGCAGTGCTATAAGGCCTTATACACACTTCAGTGGAACAAAAAATAAAGACATACCCTTACATTTATGGTCAATAGGCTTAAATGCAACAAAATAAAGGTGAATCCCTACTCTGCACTATACACATCTAACTCAAAATGGCTTTCAGATCTAAGTGTAACAGCCGAGTGTAAAGCTTTTAATATAAAACAGGAGTAAGATTTTATAACCTTGGACTAGGCTATAGTTTCTTGGATATAACACCAAAACGGAAGAAACAGTGAGAAATAGTTCAGTTGATAAGTGTAAAAAATCAAAAGAGGTGGCTTAGTGATTCAGACCACTTTCTGCTCTTCCAAAGAACCCATGTTCAGTTTCCAGCACCCACAAACTCCTGTAACTCCAGTTCCAGTGGATCTGGAGCCCTCTTTTGGCCTTTGAAGGTACTAGGCGCACATGCAGTGCATATATGTACATACATGCAAGCAAATACTCATACATGAATAAAAATAAATAATAGATCTTTAAAAACAAAATGAGCTGGTGGATGCATTTAATTCCAGCACTCAGGAGGCAGAGGCAGAGGCAGGCGGATCTCTGTGAGTTCAAGGCCAGTTTGGTCTACAGAGCGAGTTCCAGGACAGCCAGGGGTGTTACACAAAGAAACCCTGCCTTGAAGGAAAAAAAAAAGCTGCGAAGAACCTTGTCAATAAGGTGATGAGAAACTGAGACAGAAGAATTGGGATTTCTTTTTTTTCAAAGCGTCTAGAACTTTATTAGGTTGACACTTTAAACACAAAATTAATTTTTTTCATTTTTTATTATTTTTAATTACTCATATTTACATATCCATCCCCCCAT